TTACACAAACACTGAAATAAATTTATATTAAAAACATTAGAACCTACAAACTACAATGAAATCCATCTGTCTACGGCATAAATTGACTCTGTTATTGACCTGAGTGTGCATTACTTTATCCTCTAGAATACTACATTGTCTTTATACTAACAAGGTGAAAAAGACTTCACATTACAGTTTAAAACAAGAGGGAGTGACCTTAAGCAAGGAAGCCAATTAAACAACAGAACAAGACTCAACAAGAACTTAAGTTCAGTGCAACGTGCATAAGACATGAAGGCTATGTAAAGACACAGAGAACAAATAGCCCATCACCGATGAAAGTAGGAACAGAGAAGCATGCATGGAGGAGAGGAGGAGGAAAGGAGACTGTGCTGCCTGTTAGGCGCCCCCTCCTGGTAGTACAGTGTAAAACAAAAGCAAATAATTAATCCAACACAGTTGGCAAGCATAGACCTATACATTTTTTTCTCACATTTGTTCAAGCTTGATTCTATGCTGAAACTGCATATACTTGGCCTCTAGGAAACCATCACTAGCACGCACACAAGTATTCACAAATGCTTAAACATAGAAAACTAAAAGAACACTTATGAACAAAAATGAATGCATACCTTTGTTATCTGAATCGGATGGGGTGGGGCCATCACATGGTGGGGGCGGAGCTCTCCGTTTATTTCTTTTAAGGGAGGACTCGGTGGAAGAGATACCACTGAGCTGACCCTGAGCAAAGCACAATGAGGTTATGATTGGAATAAAATACTAACAGTGCTTAATGCGTACTGCATAGTAAATACTTAAAGTGGAACAGTATACATTATACAATTTTAAACCATAATATACTGTAGGTGTCATAACCTCATTACACTGTAGTTTCATTTATTGTTAAATTAAATTCTGTATGAAAATGTCTTAAATTTAGGCAATCAAGTAATGAGTCAAATATAAGTTGTAAAATATTGCAGCTGTTACTACAAGCTCATTCGTCACAGTGGGTATTGAGGGTCAAACTGAGTGCATTGCACTGTGGGATACTGTAATTCATTCTGTTTTTTGTTTTGTTATATACTATATTTTTGGCAAATAAAGTAGGTCTATATAGTATTTCAAGCACAAAGAAAATCTGAATATTATGAGCAATATACTGTATATACTGCAAAACAAATAGCATGCCATTCAAAACATGCCACAGAACCATACACATACATACTATTTTATTTTAATAGTTAGCCTACTGTTTAACAATAAAACTGGATTCTGATCAGTAGAACTGCACATTCTTGCATGCCAGTGTTGTTATTGTTAACTAAAATTTCAATTCAAAATGTTTTAATTGAAATAAAGCTGAAATAAAATACATTAGATGAAAAACCTGGAATATTAAAATTGCTAAAAATTAAATAAGAATGCTAAAAAGCTAAGAATATATATATATATATA